AGGAAAAAAAAAAAAAAAAAAGGGGTAGGTGTTTAAAAATTAAAGTAACACAAGAAAAAAAATTTAAGTCCCCCCTCCCCCCACATGATCTTCCCAAGATGGGCAGATTGTACGAGATTTTAATGAGAGCCGTGACAGGATCGAGAGGTGAGCGAACGCCGGTATGTGTTCGCTCACCTCCCGATCTACTGAGCCGACCTGTGACAGTCTCATTGTCACAGGTCGGCTAGAACTATGAGGGGAGTGAAAATAACTCACCTCATAGTTCTCCTTTAACACAAACATAAAGTCTCCACCTGAGGAGGTAACTATCAGTCATATCCGGCACTACGTCCTACAGGAGCGGCTCTTCCGGCTTCCACTATAAGTGAACATGTATGGAGAATCACAGCCCGTTACATACAGTTTCTCTGCCAGACCTTATTCCACAGATATCCAGCCGCTCTCCAGTCTGTGTCTGCATCCCCCCAGCGCAGCCTGTGTCTCTCTCAGTCACTATCAGGTGCCGGCTAATTAATAGAGAGAGGAGGTGTACCTGTTGGGGCAATGATTAACTCCGTCCTAGCCAGGGAAAGTTGCCCTTTTCAATCTCTCACCGACATGCACCGAGTCATACACCCTGTCACAGTATGCGACATTATGCACCGGGTCCCCTCCTCCCTCCTGACACTATCAGGCTCTCGGTCCATGACCGAATGCCTGACTTTTTAGAGGGGGGGTGACACCAAAATGACTGTCAGTCATTTTGGTGTCACCCCTGCCATGGTGACACCCGGGTGTATGCTGCACCTCCCTTGTGACGCCACTGCATACAGACATACAATCAAATGGTCGTGCCTGCGCGATGACGACACAGCGGGGTGACACCCGGCCATGGGACGCCCCTGTTTGTGTGTGTATGTCTGTATGTGTGTGTGTCTGTGTATGTATGTGTCTGTGTGTGTGTAGTGTGTGTATATGTATGTGTGTCTGTGTGTGTGTGTGTTTATGTGTGTGTGTGTCTGTGTATGTATGTGTGTGTGTATGTGTCTGTGTATGTCAGTGTGTGTGTATGTATGTGTGTAGTGTGTGTGTCTGTCTGTCTGTGTGTGTGTGTGTGTCTGTATGTGTGTGTGTGTGTGTATATATGTGTGTGTGTGTGTGAGTCTGTCTGTATGTGTGTCTGTCTGTGTGTCTGTCTGTATGTGTGTGTGTATGTGTATATGTGTCTGTCTGTCTGTGTGTGTGTGTCTGTGTACGTGTGTGTGTGTGTGTGTGTGTGTCTGTGTACGTGTGTGTGTGTGTGTGTGTGTGTGTGTGTATGTGGTGTGTGTGTGTTTGTAGTCCAACATTCTCATTAGGCCATGATTTCCGAATGTGATCTCCAACAAGCTGATATAGGGGTCATGGTCAGGTGTCCACAAACCTTTATTTACCAGTCAGGTTCAGTGCTGGGGTATCTGAAGACATGACGAGCGCATTGATCTGCCCTCCGAGGGCCACATTGTACGCAGCATTGTTCAGGTAACCGAACAGAAGATGTTTTATGATCTTTTTACGTATTGCTTTCTATGAAAATGAGTCACGTATTATTGGGGTGAGCCCGGGCCCATTACGACAAGCCAACACGCCTGTAAAACCTGTCTGCCTCCCTGTATGATCAACTGCCAATCAGCGGCAGCTAGAGGGTGTAGAAAAGCAAGGAATACATTAGGTCATGTGATCTTTCATGAGCTGCAATTTATTCCTTCATAAAACTATAAAAGGAAACATAAATACCATGAGAGCTGCTTGTCTCCCGTATTACCAGCCGCCCCCCCCCCGCCGCCGATCACCTGTGTTTGCATTAAAAGTAAGAGAGATGGTAAGGGGTAGAAGGGAATGTG